TAAAGGAAGAAAAACCCAAGAATAAAAAAACCTCTAAGCCACAACGTGCATGAGAGCTGAGCGTGTGCTGCCCTCTTCTTATTCCTTCCAGGTGCACACTTATATCCACAGCTGGAAACCAAACACTGGGCTGGACGGACCTGGATCTACTTCAGATGCATTAATACACACGGCAAGACCCAGAGGACGACTGTGTCAGCTCTCCCAGCTCTACCGTCCAGGTGCCAGGTTTGCTCCCGGGGCCCCTTTTCCACACCAGGACCCCGATGTACTCCCCCTTCCATTCAGCAGTGCAGTGACCCCGCGACACTGGGTGTTGCTGCCCCAGGCTGCTGCGTTACACCCGCACGCGGCAAAGCGTGCAACATGAGCAGCACGCACCCCGCGGCAGGCAGGGCTGGCACACGTACTCCGGAGCAGAAGCACTGCAGTGAGCAAAGTGCCAGCTGCTTTTCCAGCTGATAGGTGGCAAGGCCCATTTCCCTGCTCTCCCTGGACCCAGCTGACTCCTGTTCCGGTTCTCACTTCGCTTTTTAACACAGGCTGTGGTTTCCCAGCGCTCCCCTCCGCCGGATCACTCTCATACTGCCTCCATCATCTGTACTTGCCCTGTTTTTCCTCCCCCTGCCAGCCCCGTTACCATTTCCCTGTTGCTGTGCGTGACAGCAGCCACGATGCGCAGAGATCCTGGGGGAGGGCTGGAGCCAGGGAGTGGGCAGGGAGCTCCTCGCTGCCAGAGCTGGCACTTCGCCTCTAGTTACTCACCCGCCCCCGAGCTCATCCTCAGGTGCTGCAGCCTCATCTGATGCCTAATGTGATCCCACACAAGGTAGCACCAGGCAAGACAAACAGGGCCAGTCACCAGCTTTTTCTGCAAAATTGCCTGCTGGCTGCAGGAGGAACTGTGGCTGCAAGGCCAAAGAGGGGCCCTAGGCAGAGAAGAAGGGGCAGCAGCAGGTCCAGGAGGGACCGAGGCAGGAGCATGAAGGTTCAGGCGCTGCAGAGGATGACTAATGCCATTCCAGAGTGACTGTGCTACCGCCTGGCCTCCGCCCTGGCCCTGGGCTTCGCCACAGCCCTCCCGCACACCGCAGACTTCGCAGGCCCTGAAGGCTGCTGTAACAGAGGTGTCATGGGGGAACGCAACCGCTTTCTACAGCTCTCTGAAGCTGCCACTCCTTTTCTTTCAGGGAGGAGACGGGGCCAGATGAGCAACCGGTACTATCCAGCACAGCTGAAGCACCCGCTTGTTTCTTGTGCAGTGGCATGCCCAGGTGTTTCGCCCTGGCTCACGTCACAGGCACATTACAGTGGGATACCCCCCTGTGAAGTCAGCCTGACACAGGGCTATTCACTGCAAATAAACACAGTGCTGAGCTCTGGCTATTGCCCTGGAAGCCGGCCGCCTCACTCCTACCCATGCAGCAGGCCAGTCTCGCCAAAGAGCCCCTGCCACAGGTTGCGTTAACCATCTCAGCTCCCACAGATCCTTCAGCAGACCTTTTCCACAGGATCCATGGTTGTGTGCGTAGCTCCTTGCCTGTACCCATGCAAAATCCTTAGAAGCGGCATTTCCAGGAAGATCACCACCTTGATGTTAAAGCCTATTACTACAATTAAAAACAGACCAGCTTTACTAGTGCTTTTACAGAAAAGGCAGCACAGATTGCACAAGGTAAGACTAAGAACGGGAATGAGCTCTAATTCAGCAGCAGCTAGGCCTAAGCCAGTTTGGAAGACAGCGTGCAGGCAGGTAACTGTAGTCACTGCAGTAGGTTTATACTGCAAAACTCTCTACGCACCTCTAGAATTGGACCTGGAAAGTGTCTCTTCAGAAAGAGAGAAAAATATGCAATAGCAGGGTCACTGTGGGACTGCAGAGTGCCCGCAGACACAGGAGCGCTGCCTGGGTTACTTCACAAGGCTCACGTCATTACACCTGCCAGGTGACAGGCCTCATTCTTGCAAGCATAACGAGTTTAGCACAGACAATTTACCTCCGTGGCTGGGGTGAGATTCACATGTCTCAGAGCCACAGCACACATGCACGGTACTGCTTTACACCGATGGCTGAGTCAGCAGAGGGAAGAAGCACTCTGCAGATGCTGAGCTACCCACAGCCTTCACAGGGAAAGTCCCCAACACCCTCCCCGTCGAAACGCTCCTGAAACGCTCCTGTCCTGCTGTGAGTCAGCACACCAACAGCCACCCTGCTTCTGCTTTGGAAACCAAAGGGCTTCGTTAGCCAGCTGCTGTGCCAAGCTGCTGCCTTTTTCCAATATTAAAGGCATGCAGTTTCCTACAGCTGAAAAGCAAATTAGCTCATTAAATAACCTGCATAAAAACATCACACAACTGCACAGAAGACAACCATGATGCACAAGCTGATTACAAAAAGCTACTTGGTGATTTTCAGTCGTCTCTACTCTGCGTAGACTGGTTAAAGGATGTTACATTTCTGATCTTCGCAAAACTTTAAGGCTAGAAAGTGGCCTATATTTGCTTCGCTTCCACATGCATTCGTGCAGCAATTCCACATACCTGCCGTGATCTTCCAGGCAGTGGTCACATGCCATTTGCCACTTGCACCATCAATGCCTCTTCCCATTTGAACAAGCCCTTGAAAGCAGGTTAAAGCCACAGATCTCATTTGCCTCTGGTTATTGCAGGTACAAGAGACTGATTCAGGCCAGGCACCACAAGTGGAATTGTAATCGTCTTAAGGCCAGCAAGGCTCCACCTCTTGCTAACAAATGCACTTTCCTCAGCTCTCACAATTTGTTGTGCTCAGAACCAAAGGCCTTTAGGCTTTAGTCAGCTGCTTATGTCAAAGGGATCATTTTACTCTTCATTTGACATTCATTTTACATTTTACAGAGCATGAGACCCTCAGTTTAAATTGTTTATTGAAGAACAGAAGCCCAGGGGCCTCAAATAGGAAACCACAGTCAAAGCTACTGCTTTTAGTTCGCTTGCATGTTTTACAGAAGGTGTTCCTCAATCTACTCAACAGCTGCTATCCTGCCTTTGATAGCGGGATTTGCAGTGGCTCAGGCTCTCCAGTGTCCATATTCTACTCCTTTAAAAACAGGATTAGCAAACCCAACTTGGGTCAAGAAAAGCATGCAACAGGCAGCCACAGCATGTGGCAGAGCACAGGGCTCTGTGAAAGTTACCTTAACATAATAACACAACCCAGAGAAACAGCTGGGTCTGCTGAGACTACACCTCCTTCTGTAGTGAGGTGTTGGCGGGGGGGGGGGGGGGGCGGCGGGGGGCAGTCTAGAAGCTTGGAGACACTTATGCATTGGGCATGAGCCCCTCTGCTCCTTCCCTTCTACAGCTGGATGTTTGTGCCCCCAACTCTGCCCCAGAGTCCAGCTGTGTCCCCAGTACGGGGCGAGAAGATTGCTTGCAGTGCTTACTCCAGTACGGGTCTCAATCTGTTTCCACAATTCATCTTTGTATTACAAATATTGCTGTGTGGGTTTCATCATTTCCTCTTCTGATTTTTCATATCCTCATAGTCAAGAAGATCAGGACCAGAGAAAAAAACGTCATCCTGACTTTGTGGAAGATGAAATCAAGAGCTCTTTTTAAGTTTTATGAGAGCCATTAGGTTAAAGTTTTGGCTTACTTTTCATTATCTGTAACTTTCCCAGGGAGGAAGTCATTGAACTCTCTTTTGAACAGGAATCTTGCCTTAATGTAGGGTTAAGTGTAAGACAGATTAAGGGGCCATATCTGAAAGGAGTCATTCCAATCTGTGACCAGGGCAACATGCAAACTCGTCACAATTACTTGTTTGTTACCTTAATCCACATGTGCAAAACAGACACCTTAAGTGACGGCAAAAGCGTCATCTCCAACCAGATTTCCCATCTCTCAGGAACAATGGCAACAAAGCAAGAGACAATCCCAGAATTTCTATTTTTGAAAAGTGTTTACTCACGTAGGTTGAATAAATTAATTTGCAAATAAAAATTAAACTACAGTATAATATAGTCTGAATAAAATGATTAGAACAACTACAATACAGGGGTTTCTTGCTGCATAAGTCTCATTACTTAATGCATATAATCTGGAAAATGTCAAAATCAGTCATATTTCTATGAAAAGGGAGTAACAGCAGTTACGTGTACATGACAGCTAACTGAACTTATAATACAGGTTTCCTGACACATGCATTTCCTGAGTGAACCAAACAATATATATAACTTTTTCTTTTTAAATGGAGAAACAATTGACAGTCAAAGTAAATAATTCATGACATCTAAGCAACACAGGTCTCTCTTTAAAGCCAAGAAGAGTTTAGAACAGCTTTGAAAAGGAAAATTGAAGCTAAGCTATAAAGTACAGAAATTTGCTACTCTTGATTATTCAGTACATATTTGAAAAAAAAAAAAGGTATGAAGCTGGCTAAAAAAAGGTCAACTCAATCCTAAAAAAGATCAGGTTGTGTATTTGCCATGAAGCACGGTGGGTTAGCAGCAAAGCTGGATGTAGTGCACTGGCCTTTTCTGGTGGATACAGAAGGGAAAGGAAGGGTAGAGAAAGGGGAACAGTTCTGTGGTGCTGAGCGAGACTACCTGCGAGAGCCCACCACAGCATGTCTTTATGCAAGCTTCCCACACCGAGGTCTACAAGTCCAATTCAGTCCCAACTCGAGCTCTTCCCTGCTGCTTGTGTCAAGTTACACAGTGATGCTCAGACACAGGCAAACACACCCATTAGGTGCCAGGCTTCACCTGGGTTCCTTCTGTGGCCTAAACGAGTGTTTGCACCCGCGCTCGTCGCGGCAGACGGGCGAGCGTATGACGCCAGCGACCCCTGTGTGCCTGAGCCTGCCAGGCTGCAACGGGCCAGATGAAACGCAAAACATCCAACAGACAAGTCACCTTTCTGGCTGATTCTCAAGCTGGTCCCTGCTCCCCACACCTGTGGGCACACACATCCACCTCCTCTCTCCCCCCCCCCCCCCCCCCTTTTTGAGAAAACAGCAAGGAACAAATGAGCCTTGTCTTTCAGGTCTGCCAATGTTTACGATTGAAAAACCCCTCATAAATTTCACTAATGTTAAATAAAGAGATGTGTTAGCATGAAGGGAGAAAACAAATCCTTAATCTAGACTAAGTTGCATATTCAAAGAGTCTGGTAAATATTTTCTCATACCCAGATCTTAAGTACAGTCCTACCAAAAAGACATTTTAAAAAGTCCTTCTTAGCTACCTTCCACATAGTTAAAGCACATCTTTATGCCATCATAACTTGCATTAGCTTTGTTTAAAAAGCATTTTAGCTATTCTAAGAACTCAGTATTTTAGATTAAAAAAGATTTTTCCACCATTTCTGTCTCATATCTGTCTCCATCCAGAACTACTCTACACATCCAATTGTTGGATGTGACACACTATGACCATGCTACTCTAAACGTTCTAGATACTTCCAATAATAAAGATAAATAGAAAAGAGTTAATATACATGTTATATTTTACAATGTTTGCATCCAAGCTGTAAACTAATGTTCTTTGAACTATTTACCCTCCATATACAAAAAGAAGGAAACAACTTTCAAACATCATGGGCATATAATTCAAAACCATTAAACTGAAGGCATTGAATTTCACTTGACAGCACTTCCTTCACCTCTTCAGAAATAGTCATTGCCTGAAGAAGCCCGAGTTCCCCCCCTTAACCCCCCATTTTTTCAATTTCCAGACTTTTCTTGATAGAGAGGGATTTAGCTGTTGTAACAAAAACCAAAAATTCTTCATCTTAATGCAAACCAGCAAAGCCCAGAGAATACGAAAGACTTGAAAAATCAGAATCGCTTAGCTTATCAGGTTACTGCAGTCCTTGATAACACATGTGTTAGTCAAGAGGTCCTTGGAAAATGAGTCTGATGTAACCTTGCTCACCAGCCAGCTGATGTGCACAGAACGGACAGGCTGCATGAAACGTGTGAGTACCATGAGGAAGGGGAATTTGGGACCAGTATGCAGTTGTCTTTTCTGAGCACACATGTCCGCACGGGCTGAATGCATGAGTTGGAGGTCCTGCATCCACATAAAATCCCGCTTCACATCCAAGCCACAGAGGCACGTAGGGGCCAACAGAGCGGCACATGGGACACTCTCGATCCTTGCCGTCTCTCTCCTCTTTGTTTCCCCAGTTGTGATAGCCGTGGACATGGCCACAGTTCAGATACACCCACGGTTGCTTTTCATCGACAACATCTTTTCTCTTCATGCTGGGAAACGCCAAGGTGTTAAATCCTACAGGACACTGGGGTCTTGCTGCATTTATTTCTTGTCTTAGTGCCTCCAGGTGTTTGACAGTAGGAGTGCGTGAAAGGCCTTCTGCAGTGCGCCACAGCAAGGTCGCTCCACAGAGGTCTATTAAAGAGCCATCTTGGAGTTGGTTCGTTTCATTCTCAACCTTTTGAAGGACAGGGAGGGAGGGAGAAAAATAGCGAGATGTTACTCTTACAATATTAGGTGACATGAGACACTTCAATAATAAAACCTGCCTGGAAGGTCTGGACAAAAAGTACGAAGCACCTACTGATGCTGAGTGTCCTATACAACATTCCATATAAAATCCAGTGTCAGCTCCTCCCCCCATTTAAAAAAATTTTTTTAAATTCATCTTCTTAAAAAGAAAATATTTCAAGGTGCAAGCTCCTATCCAACCTTTATTCCTCCTTTCAACTCCTCCCCAATAGTGCTCCCAACTATGCTACCTGAACTGCATCAAGGAGGAATAGCACAGGGCCAGTCTTGTTTAGTCCACCATATTTCAAACTGTTTTCTTCACGCACATCTGTAAACACGCACACATAAGCCTCCTCTCCCTGAAGAGAAAAGCAGCTGCCAGCATTCCTAGGTAAATGCATCACTTATTTAAGTGTTTGTGTTGTATCTATTTTTGCTAAGAGGTCCCAGGTCATACAAGACCAATCACCTCATCTCTCAGGAATGAAGGCCCTGCTTTAAAAACAAGGGGAAAACTCAGAACGTCAGGGTGGAAATGGACACCCAGGTATAGAGGCATGTGTCAGTAAAACTATAATTGTTCTTCACTATAGATTCTGATTCTTAATTATTCTATAATAATAGGACAAATGGGAAAACTGAAAAAGCATAAACTTAAGAGGGAGAGTCGGGAAATATTCTTCCAGCACACGACCATCACTGCTTGCAGAAGAGCATACTAGACAAGCCACTCAGTGTAGGAGAGCAGTCTAGATTTGCAGTTAAGTACAAGTTCAGAGCCAAATTCTGCCAGTTATTCAGGTTGAGCAACACGGAGGAAGACACTCGCACACAAAGTCAGCGCAACTAACTGCAGAGGCAGTATATGCACAGAGTGAAGCACTTGTCTAGGCCCAAGCTACCTAGCTTACGGCTGTATCCCATTTTAAACATGCTGCCCAGACCGTTGGTTACTCCTCTTACCATTTTACCCCTCTGCTGAGCTGATCTGGTTTCACGGAGGCTGAACACATTTCCACACACAGATATCTCTCTCCATACCCCTGGCTTGGAGTCTTCAGTAAATCCATTACGGGGATGCATAACAAGAACTCCATTTGTGGTTAGTCCGTCCATCTGCCCATCTGATGTCTTCCACTTTGCAGCTTTCTCCTAAGAGAAATGACATCAATGAAAATTTCAATTTGTTTGGAGTTATGAAATAGCTGAAGACTGAACCTGCATCAACCTGGGAAAAGAAAGTTCCCTTACCCCAAGAAAGATGTTTTTTGAGGAGTCAAATCCTGCAGCATATATTCGCGCTGTAAAAGGAGGGTTCCGCTCACATATGATTCTGCAAGCAAACCTTGATATAGTGCTCTGCACGGACTGCGTATCTGAATTGCTCTGACTTCCAGGAACTGTATCTGTCACAACAAAGTCTATAGGACTCTCTGTTGACCGACCAATCTGCAAAGAGTAAAACCACAGCGTTAGAAGTTTGACTTTGGGTGAAGTAACGTTCAAATCCAAAAATTTTAACTGACCAAGAAAAAAAAAAAAAAGGACATTCCAGTCTGAAGCATCCTCCCCTCCCAATCTAAATTTGGGGTGCTGAAGCCTAATCTGAATGGATGAGTTATTCCGCCTCCATCTGATCAAGGTTATTGTGAAGCCTGAGTACAGGCAATTGAAGGAAGGAGAAATAAAAAGAGGTAATTAAGCCAAATTCAAGAGGATTTTTCATTGAAAGTCTTCTCATCAGAAAGGTTAGACTCAGGTCAGCAGGACTGGCCATAGCAATGCCAAGACAGCTAGAAAACAGCAGCTAGATGAAAGAAAAGTGGCGTTCGGTCACTTTGCAAGCCCAGAATATTTTGAACAATGACAGACTAGGTGGAGGCGTAGGTGTAGGAAAAGACTGCCCAGATCACGTCAGTTGCCTCTCCAGCTCCAGTGGGGCTGGAAAGCGGTTAATCCACCAGGAAACACCAGGTACAAGATGTTTGTGGCAGGGGTTTTTACATTAATGTGCACAGAACAACAGGAATACAACATCTGACTAACATCCATACAGCATCTAAGAACTGGAAAGGGAAAGACCACCGCTCCGGTTTCTCATACATCATCTGAAGTACATTTCCACCGCTGCAACTCTACCAATTTTAACAGAATTGCACAGGTGCAACTGCTCATCCAGTTAGTTTATATTGTCATTTTCCTTTCAAAGCATAATGAGAAGTTTTATCCCTGTCCTAAACATCCACATAGCCAGGTTTAAAGCCCACTCATACAGGAGACCCTAAGCCCAAAGTACTTTTTGATAAAGGCTGGAGAGACTGAAACTGCATTGTCAGAATGTATTTTGCTATTATTTCTTGAGCAGGACAACCCATCAGTACACATGGTTTGCCATCGGCAATTTCTGAGCAGCATGCATGCCGCAGCATGCATGCCACGGCATGCCTGGAGAAAGAACATTTGCACAAACAATAGCTTATGCTGCGGTTAGTTTGTTGCAGCCCTTCTGCTCTGTTGTAGGTATATGCAAATGCATAGCAGCTTCCTTGAGCACATACCGACACCTCCTACCTCAGGTCCTACAACGTCGTCACAACTAAAAGCTGTGACAGCAAAATTTCTCGTCATAAATTAGCTACAACAACAAAAAAATCAAGGCTAGATCAGTTCAGGTATCAGAATGAACAACTCACGCTTCAAAAAACCAAAGACAAAACTCTTCCTTTTGAGAAAAAACAGGAAACAGTAAGAGATGAGTGTACACCACAGCTGCAAACGTGTTTGTGGTTCCTTGTCATACGTACAGAAACTGCAGCAAAGTTCTTCTGAATTGACAGCACATCAGAATGGGGTCTCCTCTCTCAACGCTTCCCAGTGCTTCAGACATATTTCTGGATTTGCTTTCAGGAGTCAGTGCCTATTTTTCATATTAGTGCCTATTTTTCATATTAGTTGTCATAAAAGCTATTTTCTAATTTCACTTTGCATTTCTACCCCACCTCCTACTCACTGATTCCAAATTCCTTCATAAGCATTTAGAACTTGGCTTCCAGCATTTAAGAGCACTGTGCACTTTATTCTTCCTTTTGCAAGAAGGGAATAGAGACAGGTTAAGTGACTTGCGTAGCAGCAATTAAAGGCAGAACCATAATCGTGTGCATTAGTCACAAAAACAACTTTCACCTCCTCTGGTTTCTCCTCTAACCAGAGGAGCCTAAAGGAGATGCATAGATATACGGTCTTATTCATGTGAGGCCTTGGGAATGAACAGAATTAAACTTCTGTGAAAAGTAAAGTGCAGAAAGTGACATATGCAAATCTTCAGGTCTGAGGGAAAAAGCCTGTTGAGAGCATATCAGAAAATAGCACAACAGAATACATTTTTATATATCATTTACTTCACATACCTGGAACATATCTGTGTTGCTGTCATGTGTATATTCAACTACTACTGTCTGGGCCCGAGACAAAGTGTAAGATATGCTGTGTTGGTCCTTGTTACTTATTGCCTGTGGAAAAAACACCAGATATTAGTGAACCCATTAACAATAACTATATTGAATACAGCAAAGTAGGCAACATAACCAGACTTTTGCTATGCTCAAGTGATGCATTAAGTCAGATGCTTGTTAGTGACACACCTGTAGTTAAAACTTCGCAAAAAAACAGTCCTGCCCACTAAAGAAAGCTGCAGGATTGGTTCAGCAACAGACCAAACCAGTCTCTTTACCACATGCTGCAACAAAATACACCTAACCAAGACAGATATTAGTCACGCTTAGGATCAAAGCGATGTTGGCCTTGATACAAAAGATGAACAAAAAGCGAGCGCAAGGACTGAAACTGAATGCAGCAGCCTTCGTGGCCTTGGCCTCAACTTCTGCAACAGTAAAGGGAGGACAAAAACTTAATGGACTTCCTTCTAGAGAAGGGGTCTGAATTTATACTAAAAAAAATCAGTGATGATTAACAAGCTGTGCAGACAAAACATAACAAGCACTGCTGGAAAAACAGGGAAAAAACAGAGAAACTCAACACAGGATGCAGAAGTTGCAGCAAAGCAAAATTAAATTTCAGTTTTGTTAGGCTAGATTTTACTTCTGGAGATTTGTGCTGTACTTCATATGCAAAACCCCAATTAGTTGCTAGTAATTGAGCAAATACTATTTGATAAAGTGCTTCTAAATAGCACTTGTCACTAGGCCTGAAGAATTAGCAAAAATATTTTTTTTCCACAGATCTAAAACTGTAATTCTGTTACAGTAACTTCAGTTAGCTATGGACTGAGTATTTTATGCCATTCCCTAATTTTTAAGGATCAATAATCCTAAATGCCAAGGAATGCAGAGAGTCAAAGACCACCGCGGTATTTGTTCAAGGGCCTGATTTCAATCATGCTGAAGAGCTCTAAACAACCACTGAGCATCAAATTCCAACGATTTCAGTGAGGGTATTTCAGTAGAAACACTCCATTTCCCTGTGCCTGAATCACCACAATATAGCGAGAATTATCTTCCTGGTAACAGCTTAGTTAGAATAGTCTCAGTTTGACATGAAATACAATTTCCCCTCAAGGCTTAAGCCTTCACTTCTCTGCTTCTTGATGAGAACTGTGACTCTGATTATGAGCCACATAAAAGTGTGCAAAACCCACCTAGGCTCATCTCTGGGTAACTCCCCCACCCGTTTGGGTAGCAAGCGCATGCAGAGCTTTGGTGAGGGACCATTCCAAAGTCAGCCGCACATGAAACAAACCTAGCCCTAGAGCACAAATGGGTGAAAACAGGAAGTCTAATACATGTTTGTATCGAGTTTGGAAGAAAAATAAAACAAAGCGTTTTACATGACTAGCCTATGCCTTCAACATTCATATTTTAGAAATAAACATCCTATCTTTCTGGACACAGTAAGGACCGGGCACCAGACTTGTTTTGCCGAATGGTTTCCTCTAACCCTGAAAGGTATCAAAAACTTGGGATAAATACCAACCATTCTTTTCACAGCCAGAGGACTTGATGCTCGTCGCATCATTCCATCTCAGTGTAACAGTATTCATTCCACTAAATTCTTTAGACAGCACTAGAAGAACTACACTTCACTAGACAAGTCAAGCTTACCTTTGCTGCTTGAGGGGTACAGGCAATATGCACAGTGCTAGGTTTCACCCCGTTTGCCTTGGGCCTTTTAAATAAAGCAAACCTACTTTTTCTTCTTCCTCTATCTCCATTTGGGAGAGACCCATTGTACCTGTGAAAAGGATATTAAAAAAAGTGAAGTTTGTCTTCACATACTACTTGCCTTCTCATGAGTTGCAGGCCCACAAGAACTTCCTTCTGTTCTAAGCACAAAGCTTCCTTAATTAGTATGCTATTGAAAAATCAGATTTCCAATTACTTATACCCATTTAAATCTGAGAATTTGTAAAGACAATATGGGGACATGCCCAGAGAATTACTGCATACACACAAAGCTGGTAGGATGGGGAATGCTACCCAGATCAGTCTCAAAGCTATTGCGAGCAAGTGGAAGAGACTCAGGCCCTGAAGATGAAAGCAAGTAAGCTAATACATTTACTTGTAGCTTTATCTTAAAATCGTTTGTTCATGCCATAAATGAAAGATTCTACTCGCTAAGCCTGGTGAAGAGCTATTATTTCAGAGAATTTTGATTGAAATAAAGACCAGTGAGAAATACAGAAGCTTTCCTCTGAAATTTTAAGTTAATCCAGCAGAAAACCCTCATTTTGAGCATGTCAGCATAACCAGGCCAAGCCATCTAGAATGTTTTATTAAAATTTTCTGTTTGCACTTTGGTACTAGCATTAGCTAGTGCCATGTTTTTATAGAACTCCTTTCTTTTTAAAATTTTTGGGATGTTCTTTCTACATTATCGCATTAGCCATCTGTCTAGGCTCAACTGAAATCACTTTGGAAGTCCCTCATAAATTGGCTATCTTTGTCATGAAAGGCTTACCTGGGAAGAACGCAAGAGCTGCGAATAAACTTAAGTCTACTCAACAGTTCAGAGCCCTACCTCCATGCTCATTTTGTCACAAAAAAAGTCTGCATGGCACAGAGCAGTTCTCCAACAGACCACATTATGCCTAACACTGGTTACCACTGAAAACAGCAGCCGTCCCTCCGTTTCCTCCCTTGGCCGTGCGTTCCAGCTCCCTTCCTGGCATAAGATCAGCTAACAGAAAAAGTTGATCGACTCACCATCTGCTTGCACACTCACTAGATACAAAGCAGAAGACGGGGTTCAAGTGAGAGGGAGTAGGACTGCCTCTCACAGCAACCTGCAGGTCAATTGCTTTAAGTATACCTGGACAGTCTTCCTCTTATACCTTCACTTCTCAGTTCCAAAAAAGTCACTTACCCCAATACAATCAATTCACCATATTTTACTGGTGCTTTTGATGGATGATTTTCTTGATCAGGAGAAAACATGAGCTTAGTTAATGACTTCTTCTCAAATTTCAGGTCGCTTATCAAGAGTTGTGGCACACTTTTTTCATTATTTCCTGTAAAAACAAAGGTAAAACAAAATGTAACAGAGAAGACTCAAATTATCTGCTACACAAATCTGCACACCTGTCTTTTGGTCTTCCTGACCCGATACAATAGCTGCAATTTTTACTTGCTGTTTTCTCCTATTTTGACTCTTCCTGAATTCATTAAGAATACTACATATAAACACACATGATAATTCACATGGAATTGCCTGGAACAACTACAAGAGCACAAAAAAATGCAAATACATTTAAAAATTCCAATATGGTCTCGATGAAACATCCACATTTGTTTTTGCTCATGCTAATTGTTTAGTATAAATGGTATACAGCTTAATTCTGCATGTTGGTGCAATTACCAAGAGATAGAGCCAGAGAGGGATCAGATTTAAAGAAAAAAACCACAAAACCGGTCCATTAGCTAACGGGGTAGAAGTTGTCGTGAAAGTATCTGATTCAGAGCCTTTTAAAAAAGTTCTGGATTGGCAGATTGCAGGAAGTTATATGCCAACTTGATATTGAGTCTACCATACAAGTTTGATTAAGCACAGAGACATTGCACAGTCCAGGGACTGAAGTGACGCAAACAACTCTTTGAACTAAACTTCCAGTGAGAATTCCAACTGATCTAAAAATCAAAATTTCAGTATTGGTTTGCCAGGAACTGTGCAGGGCCTTTTCTTGGTGATCCCACAAAGACAGGGCAAACGCAGAAGAGACAGAAAGCTCTTTTAATTGTAAAAATATCCCAAGTTGTTCTTCTGGATTTCTTAAAGAGAATGCTTTCTTGAAGCTCAATTTTGTCATCTTTTTGGTTTAAAGAACCATTCACACTAGAATTTTTCACAGCTCTTATTGATTCCTCATTAGTAACTTTTCCAAACACCTCTGACCTACCCAACCCATCTCTGACCTTCCCATAAAGGAAGCCTACCCAACAAAGCACTCGCTCAAAAAAAGGATTAAACAGATGGCTTTCCTTTAACAGGAAAAAGAACATTCCCCTGATTCTGCCATATAAGTTTCCACACTCACACAAAAAGCTATTAAACTCTTTAATTCTGCACTTTCAGAACTGATCTTTAATATGCTGCCTTCCATTTAAATAAACAGGTTGGCCCACATGACATTTCTTGTGCCCTGTCAACTTAAACCATGACTATAATGCATATATCGCCATTTTCTCCAACTCAACTAGGCCTTAGATAGTAGCAGAAAAGATATCATACAGATTTTATCCACCCACATCTCACGTCTCAATGACAGAGAAAATGATGTGGCAGTGCTTGACAAAAGCAATCTTACCCTGCTTACATTCATTCAGAAGTTAATGCAAATATCACCTGTCCTGACCCAATCTCTACCTTCCCCCAGCCTTTCCTCCATCACAGAGGCTAGGCCCTCATTGTCTTCTGTCAACCTCTCAGTCATTTCTTATTTAGCATGGATAGGTTTGTTCCCACTTGCAATCAGCTCATGATGCTATCTGAAAATCTGGTATGGCCCTTCATGCTTTCTTGCACGCTCTCCCACATATTTGAGAGGGCTTCACACAAATACCCACAAAGACATGTAACTGTCCTCCAGACTTGCTGTGACGCCTGCAGAACACAGCTGGGATGCTAAACTGAACCCTGCATGTTTTTTTCCCCCCCCCCTTACATTTCTCATTGTTTTCTAAAATTCCTCTCTTTCGCTCTCAAGTTTGAGTCCCAGGTACTTCATATTGCTTGAAATAGTAAATTAACTGAAGACTGCCTTTTTGTTTTGCTTATGCATAACATTATCACAATGGTATTCTGATCTACTGCTAGAGATGCAAGCACATAGTAATAAACCTCATCTGCCCAACGCTGCTGTGAAGTGGTTGTGTCCTGGTCTACATGATAGTTACACCAATATATCTCTGTTACTCAGGAGGTCATGCACATTTTTACTAAACAGTTATCCTCGTTCAAGCCTTAGTGTGTGCACCTGCCAAATGGTGGTTAAAGTGCCTTATACTGATACCACGGTCCCCACTGCTCACTCAGGAATAGCAACAACAGCACAGAAGAGTAAACGGATAGAGTTCGCTCTGAAATACTCCTAGATTGCTGGCCTATATGGCCTTTAAATTTCTACAGTGGAAAATTTAAAGCAAACTTATCAGATGAAAATTTGGTCATGAAGCTCTTACTTATGTCCATAACACATCAAAGTGGAGACAGTCCCACTGGATAAACAGAGCCCAAGGACATATACCTGTGTTCACAGACAGTTATCGCCTTGCTCTGGCCATCTGGGGTTGTCTTTGCTTCCTGGCAAGGCAACTCCCTTGGAGCACAACATTAGCAATTCCCTGAAACCACGTATGTGCCTTTGAAGACACTGCAGGGAAAGTTTTCTGACAGTGATACGAGACAATCTAGCTTTGAGTGTTTAAGGAAGCTTGGTTCTTTAACAACACCTCCTCTGTCTATAACTTTATAGAAATTATAAATATATCTTTATGTTTAAGTATTTCTACAACCAACTTTAGCATTTCTTGTTTTGCTTTGTTTTAAAAATCTTCTTGCAAGTATGTAATATCAAAACTAGAAAATAATTGCATCTACATTAAGGTGCAAATTGCTTACATATTGTCTTAAAAAAGACTCCTGATGTTTTAATCTCCTCCCCAAACGATCATCTATTTCCACTTGCATATTGATCTCCCCGGCAGCTCTCCCCCTCACTTCAGTCTTCTCCACATACAACTAATTTCATCTTAGCCATTGCATTTCACATGCAATGCTTCCCATTTCTTTTGCTAATGTAGACAATGGTTGTCCTTTGACTTGACATCTAACAACTGAGAAGAAAAGCAGCTATGATATCTATAGTACTACCCATTACAAAATGGCATAAGACCAGTAAATGCCATCAGAGTAACAAAAAAAAAAAAAAATTGAACGACATCCACCATACCTTATGGTGTTTGAAAAAGAACTAATCAACTCACTTCAAGCAGGTAGCAAGACAAGCATTAAAAAAAGAACTTTAATCTTTGCCATTAGTACAAAAAAGGTATGTCATAACCTCCCCTCTGTTCACCTAGGGGATAAATTTCATGAAAGATAAAGCTAAAAAGATAAAACTCCAATTCACAGAGTCAGCTTCTAAGTCTCATTAAGAGTAATTACACACAAACAACTATAGGGCACTCCTTTAATGAATTACCTGAACAGGCAGTCAGTAACCTCTTCTTGAGGAGCATGACTGAGCAGAAACCAAAAAAGGAGCCAAGAGATTCATGTGACAGACTTCAGTAGTGAAAATAGTTAACTAGAAAAATCTTAATTCAAGAAAAAGTGTCTAACTTCTAATGCTCAGCTGCTCTGCAATACATTTTTTTGTTTCACAATTAAAGAAATCTAGCCAACTTTATTTTGGGCCAGCATAAACGATGGAAATTCACTTGTTATTTTACCCAGTGAAGGTTCAAGAGTACGAAATCTCGAGCTGTCACGAGCAGAACAACATGCTTCATCCTCGAAAGCATGCCTTGAACATTTGAACTTCATTTTTTTACATGCCTCAGAACCTTTGAGCTGCACACACTCACCAACAGTAAAAACTCATAATTTGAACTTAAATATATACAAAATTCAGAGCCCCTAAAAAAAATTCTGTGCAACATATAAGCTACTTCTTACACACGTATGATCTGCTTGATGTATTATACCCAAAAGGAAGACTCACTTTGTTCTCAGAAATAACAAATATTCATCATATTGTTCCAATGATGTTCCAAAGACTAGTCCAACTGAAATGTGATGCTGGTGAATGAAAACCAAATGTTCTTCCACGGGAGAGGAGTCTAAACAAGCCATGGGATAACATCCCCACTCCTAAACTGGAAAACGCTTACGAGCCTTTTAAAGTTGGATTTAAAAAAAAAAAAAAAAAGAATTTACAAGAGGAACTCCTCTTGAGATGACAGGAAAGAGGCACTAAATTACATAATGGGTCTTCTCTTGTTGGTATAGAAAAACCTGTCCACGTAGTACGTTTCTGTTCTTAGAATACAGAAAGCTTCTTAAGAGAGTTTGGAAAGGCTAATCAAGTAAGCCACAAGACAGAACCTGGCACTGCAGTGCCAGCAGGCAACTAAGCAACTGACTGCTTGAACAAAACAGCGCAAGTTAGCTTTTTGTCATGACCATTAATTTCGTAGCAGCATCTCAGGCCATAGCTGAATTAGGCTTCATTGAAGTAGGCTCTGAACAACACAGACTGCTCTGAAACTCCCCTTCAAGGCTCTTTTCACTACTGATGAGGAATAAGGTGCTAATTACAGGATCCCAGCCTTGTCCTACATTCTTCCAAAATCATAGAACTTATTACAACACACAAAAAGTTTACCTCAAGATCTCTGCTTCTGCTACAGAAAAGAGACCAAAGCATAAAAAACCTTATCTGTGCAGAGTCCTGCACTATAGAAGGGAACAGCTTTGGGGAGTAAAGCAACTTGCATTCAGAGAATAGTTTCTGAAAGCCATGACTGGATTTGGTAAAGGTGCTGTTCAGGGAGCACAACCGCCTGCAGTTAACACAAAACCTATGATGGGTACTAATTAGCATCCTTCAATCACAGAATAGGAAGCTGGAATAAGAAAAGAAGATAAACAAGTAATACCTTTTTACTCTGAAAACCAGTTCCTTTGGAGTCAAGAGAAAAAAAATCATGGAAGGTAACTTGCACAGTACTGTCATGTGTAACTGAGGGAATGGAAATAGATGACATCTAAACTGAAAAAAGGATTTTAAATTCATTTAGGAAGGGCAACACAAGTTTCTTACAAGTTTCTTTCTTCTTCTTAGTCTCTAGAGTCACAAAAGGCAAGGAGTGCTACAGCAGAAAACAAGCTACATTTCTTATTACCTTTAAGTAGTAGAAGGAACAGCCATGTATATCATTGCCATCTCTCCTGTCACATTTGAGAACTAGTCTCTGGATCTGGAGGCACTATTTTCTGGGGAGACCTAGCAAACCATGCGTTGTTACAGGACGTAACAATGAAGGGACTAATACTCCTTGAGCACTGCAGATCTGACATGCCTTTAGTTACTTAGTGATTTAAGTTAGGTCAAGTCTAGCTGAACATCAGCATCTGACCTATTTGTCTTCATTCACTACCTGAAGTTTTAAGTCTTGGGTATATGAAAACAATGTTTGCATGCTTCAGAGCAGATACAGGTGAAGCTTAACGGTCTGTGCATTTTTGCCGAATATGCCATTTTCAGTGGGGGACCCAGAGATACATTAAGCTTTCGTTGTTTTTGAACCATGAGCTTGAGCTTACCATTCATTCTCAATCACTCAACTGTCTTTTCTGATCATGAGACAACATTTATGATTAATCTCTAGTGGCTACTATGGAGCGTCTTTAGATCTTGTTTGCATTAGGGCACAGCACCTTGTGGAATTAATAAGTTAGCTATTTAGTAGACTAAGTGCAGCTTTCAGAAATGCAACTAGAATAGCAGTAACTTAATGGTTAAAATGGTGCAGGGGGAGGGGAAACCTTAAATTCAATGAGCTCAAGCAGATTCATTAAACACTCTGCTGTGAGCTAAAAATACTAGAATAAAAGTCTCTTTGTAATAAATTACCATCATTTTCTAAACACAGAGCCAGCATTATAGGCTGTTAGCAACTGTAGCTAGTGCCAGACTAGCCCTTTTCTAAAATACTGCATTAAAACACACTTCCACAGTATAAAAAGAAGTCCTCTGTCAATGGGTAAATTAAAATAAAAATATGCTGATTCAAATGCAAAAATGTACATTTTTCCATTTTTATAATGTTATCTTCTGTATATTCTATATCTGCATACTCTAGGGTTTGGAGTTTTTTTTTTTGGTTTACAGAAATAAAGCATAAGACGGCTTCTCTACTTTTTTCCTAAGTACAATTTGCTATTTGTAGACCTCTGTTTTACAACCCTTGCAGTTTTCATATCCAGCTCCCTCACTTCGTAATTCTGTATTAAGTCAGGAGGGTACAGACAAAAGAGACCCCGACTCTTGCTCGAGGTCTGCAGTAAGGGGACAAGAGGCAACAGACAAGCTGCAACACGATTAGCTATTAGGAAAACAAAATTCAAAGAGGCTGTGGGATCTCTCTCCTTGGAGATATTCAAACCTTGCCTGCACACGGCCCTAAACAACTTGATTTAGGGTGGCCGGCCAGGCTTTCAGTGCAGGGCTAGACCAGAAGACCTCCCAACCTAAATTATTCTAAGACTATAATTCATTTTAGGAAACTCAAGACATTTTTAAGAAGCAAACCCAAACACGACTGAATTGTGAAATATGCATCTTATGTGCACTTTTGGTCAGCTAGAGACAAATTAAGAGGAACTCCATTAATGTCAAGGAACCAAAATCTTACCCCTCTCCTCCACAATTTGCTCATTATAAATTAAAGCTGTATTTGGATGTAAAACCCTAAAGCATTCTTTGAACTACAAAGAATTCACATTCAGTAGCGCTATTACCTGACTAAACACAACTAGGACCCAAGTTTGACAGTCTCCATCCACACACTTAAGCTCCTTAGCGATCCAACCAATTTTGGCTAGGCATTCTTCTAACTGCAAGATCAGAAACCAAACTTTCCTTAATGCATGCGCAGTATTTCAGTGTTGCATTTTCTCTTCTATGGCTATATCTTGTCTCTTCAAAGAGAAGATTTGAATTTCCTGATTTAAAGGACTGGAACTTCAAAGCTAAGGTAACCATGAGAGACAAAGCAGCCTCGAGGAATACTCGTCCCTCAAGTTGAAAATATTTGCAAGTCTAGAAGAAGGAAGAGGCAATAAGCAGTCAGAGAGAAGTAAAAAAAACCAGCCATTCCCAACAGACTGCCTTCTGGCTTGATAAGAAGTCCCTCAAGTCCAAGCTGCCAGATTTGACAAACACAGTCAGAAAGTATGAGTACAGGAGTTTACAGCACTAGACGTATTTCAAATAACTCGATTGTGCTAGCACTTTCTAGCAGGCAGACCACCATGTATGAACCACTTACGAAGAGATATTCTTCCTCAATCCTGAAGCATCAGTATCTTTGTAGGATGCCACACTTCAGAGCGACTGTTTTATACATAGATTTGCTCATTTCTCATATTAATGCCACTCCATTGATACTGATAACGTTACTGCTGATCTACACTGATGCGAGCGAACACAGCTCCTTACATCACTATGTTTTTGAAGGCACAGACAAAAATTTGGAAATCACTTCCTTACTATATGATGCTTAAAATAGCCATTGGAAAGTTATTCTTCAATAACAGACTGTTTTTCCTAGGTTTCTTTTCACCTGAGTAGCGGAGCATATGAACATATAATACTCTTCTGTGATTTATCAGCCATGGTTCTCACGCTTCTCAGTTTCCAGTTAAAAATAAACAGTTCATGTTCCTTCATAGATATACCTGGAGCTTTAGGCTCTGCAGGTTTTATATACCACTTGTGAGATCAGGCAGATCCTATCTATAGCTTGCACCCTTCACTGCAGATATATAGGAAAGGTGTAATGATGCAGCTGTTAAGTATTCAGATTGCACTCTTGCTTCACACCAGTAGAGCTAGGTTACCTTCCTAAGGAAGGATAATTTATTCCCCCCCCCGTCTAGAAAAAAGAGGTTTGTTTGTTTGTTTGTTTTTTTAGCAAAACAGAAAGAAAATAAAAACTAAAAACACAGAATAAGCCTTGGAGCATGGCATGGCAGGTCAGCCTAGCCTTTGGACTTTGTATGGATTATTCTTTCCTTAGTCTGTAACCATTCACCTTTTCTTTAACATCTAAATAAGCTTTGTCATCCACTATATACAAACAAGTTCCATTTTATTTTCAATGCTTTCACATATCTTTAAACCGGGGAAAAAAACACCACTACCAAAACACCAAAATCCCACATACAAGGCCAGACTCTGTAATGGGCAAACAGTCTTTCCTGCACAGGATATCAAACATAAAACAATGCAAGCAAAACTATCTGCTTCTATGCCTTGAGAACATCTGCAAAATCCCTAACAGAGGGGAAACAAAATAAAGCATCTTTATACCAAGGACATTTACCATTAGTAGGCCAGCATTCTTGAGAACACGGCATGCAAGAGTCATAGCATGAGAAAGGCACTTTGCATGTGGGCTGTTTCAAAAGCACATAACTTGATGCACAAGAGCAAAGCTACTGCTGCTTTGCGCTGAGACTTCAGCTAGCTTTCTCCAGTCTAAGAAACCACGCTTTGAGTTGGGCTGGCATTCAGTGTTCCACTTCAAGTTTCGTTTCATCCACACAAAACGAATCGGAACAGTCCTCAGCAGTTTTACGAAACTCAGGAACCGTGCCGTGAAGATAGACATCTTTGTCCAATGAACAGGGCAAACCTTTCAGAACAAGACTTCTATTATAGGCTCATATATGAAAATCTGTACCTGCTGACAGCACTCAAAAATACCATTCCTTCCCACAAGATGGAAAATTTATCTTAAAGTACCTGGGCCAGATTCCATTCAGAGTGCTGCAAACTTCAGTAGTGTCATTCTCAATTGCCATCGATGAGATCGGAAGGTGGCCAAGCACATTAAAACTAAAGGGAAGCAGTTAGATAATAGATAATGATCCATTCTAGCAGATTGACAAAAATCAATTCTGAAAATATTCTCTTGAAAAAATCCAGCATTTTTTTCAGTTATGAAAAGTAACAGCTGATCCTCCCCTGAGGAAACCACGATATCCTCCCCCAGATTATAAATGATGTAATTCAGACTGTGTGTGGGAAGCTGAAAACATTTGTCTTTTAGCACAAGGTGGCTATTTTAAAGCTGTCACTGCACTATTATCTATAACCTTAATTAGCCGAGGGGGGGGGGGGGAAAAAACCTCTTCACCAGTTACAAACTGCTACATTTGCACGCAGTTTACATCTCCTTACCACCTATGCCCACCAAGTCAGCTTTCAGATAGACCTACGACAAAATATAACCTCACACAACACAAAGCTTATCAGTTGGCTACTTCTGCAGCACCAGGGCCAAATAAAAGCTATGCTTGTTGAATCAGCCGAGCTAACAGTCTTGTGAAAGCTATTCACATGAGTTACTTCGGAAGCTTAATTTGCAGCTTTCTACACAAGTTTTTGGTTACACTTGCACCTTGACTGTTGCTTCACACAAAGCTAGGTTTTATTTCTTACTCAGTTTTTCAGATAAAGATTATTTATATATGCTATAACTACAAAGCCATAAAATGACATGAAGAGGCATGCTGATAGGACAATGCTATGTGTTCATTAACCATAACACTACCTAACCACATCCTTATAGAGTCCATTACAAAAGCAGCAGTAGGAAAGCTAAAAACTTTGTATATTTGTACAAAGTGGCAGAAATAAGGACTAATTTTCCCGACATAGAGAACTTTGCAATCAGAGTCCTTTAACAATATTATGGTCCTTACTGCCTTCAGATAAATTATGCAATGTTATCTTCAAAATAAGCAGTCTCTCCTTTCATTGCAAGTCAGTGACAGGAGCACAACTTCCATATACAGATTGATTAGGAGTTCATGCCAAAATATAGACACTATTTTTAAAAGGGCAATTTAGCAAATAAATGGAGCTTTTTATGCTTTGATGACTAAGCACAGGGAGTACCCAGGGTGTATGATGCACCTGAACTGGAATATATAGCAAAGAACCCCATACTTGCACAAAATCACAAGTTCTACAAACCTGAATGTCGCCGTTTCGCTTTTTCTGCGCCTCTGACTGTCCCGACAAGACAGTTTATGTACCAGATTACTGTCTACTCAATAGATGTTATCACAGTAATGTACTCTGTGAACAGGCTTTTTATATCATATTGAAAAAAAAAAACAGTTGAATTCAACTCATTCTTAGTCTAGAGAGCACAAATATTTAACATCTTTGTGAAAAATTCCCCTTGGTATGATTTCATTAGACAGAGTTGACAGTTTCAGAGCATCTTGTTCTGCACCCTAAAAACAAGAAGCAACTGACACTCGTAACAAAATACAAAGCATTTGGTATAAGCAGCACTTTGAATTCCTCTTCCCAGTTTTAGTCAGGCAGCCTGCAACATACTGCCTGTTCTCAGGTTTCACTTTGAAAGTATCTTTCAACTTCTCACTGAAAAAATACTGCAATGGAAGAGGCTTTTATAAAGAAGACTGAAGCACTACATTAGAATAGAAAAAAGATGGCATACAGCACTTACCAGTATCTTTTTGTGCTTTCAATACTTCTACACAGTAGAGAAGAAAAAACCTTTGGTCTTGCTTAAAAACGCATGAAATCCACTAACTCCTTTAAAACCCAGCAACTGCCAGACTGAGCGCCTCTGCTCTAGTGTGCTTTTACTTAAGCAGTTGGTAACGCAGCCTGACTAAACAGGGGCTGGCTCTGCCTTACGTAAGCTAGGTAAACACCACCACACTACACACCATTGGCGGAAGTCAGAGCTTGCATCCTGCTTACCATCCCATAAATTCATCAATCTTGGGCCCCAAAAAGGAAAAAAGGAAGCAGAGGGTGTGTTGAAAACTGTATTCCACAGCCCAATTCCCCAGCAGTTCTTTGGATTAGATTTGCAGAGAAATACTGTTCTATTTCCTTCTCAATTTGTCTTACATAACTGTACCCATGCATGCTATACTTTTTTTTTTTAATTATCGCTGATTAGCACAGCTAGTTTTCCTCACCTCCCACACAAAAAGCGATTTCTTAATACAGAAGGAATTAAAACAGCAGAAACTTCAGGCATTGCTAGCCCTATTTTACTAACACTATAGAATTTGACACGCTCAAAACACCCACAGATGCCACCTGTGTATAGCTACTTTCAGACACTGGACTCCCACGGCCATTGATTCTGTAACTCTTCATTCCCATAGGATGCACACAAAGACAGACAAATCTGCACGTGCCAGGTCAGATTCTGAGCTCATCTTGTTCCACTAAAACTGAAATCACTGAACCAAGCCAGTGGGTTAGATCACTTAAATGCCTGAGCCATAAAAGTGATCAAAACACCACATCTTCTGAGTTACAGCCTGATATAATTGATCTTACAAACACTCTCAGGCTGCAGCAATTAAGTTGCAGTGCAGTAGTCTAACCTTTTCATCAAGTTTTACATCACATCTGTAGTGGGCCAAGGAGGCACACAGTTATTCTGGCTCCAATGAGGTATACTCAGGCTGCGATGTGACATAACCAAGTTCTACAGCTGATGGCATTGCTGCCACTTCTGCTGCCCTTTCCTAGGCAGGAAGTACAGCAGTTATATTCCTACAAGCTATGGCTCAACATCTCAATTTTGCAAGTGCAACTGCACAGATAGATAGGTTTTCTTGATCTAGTTCACAGTGAAGGTGTCCACGTTTTTAAAAGTTGGTTTATCTGCTCGGGTATTTTTCAGCTGGATCTGTTTCCCAGTTCAGTTCACAGCATGGCTATGCAAACAGTTGTACCAGCCGAACATAAGGAGGGAAGGGGAGGTGCATTACACAGCACCACGCAAAGCTAGTACTGTCAAACTAACTTTTTGTTCATAATGCTTAACACAGCACAAATTGCAAATCCACATAAGCAAGCTTCACTGCTAAGAACAAGGTTAAAATATGCCTTTTTCTCTCTTCTCACTCTGTACACCAATGTTAATCTCCAAGTTACACTGTGAGGTTGTGCTGTTCCGTGATCCTGTCACATGCATGAAAAAGTAAATTACGGAACTCCTTGCCATAGGATAGTCTGGATAATAAAAATGAACACAGGCTCAAAGACACTGGACTGTTTTCTCTCAAAGGCTACTAAGCACAAAGATAACACTTTTGCTCCAGAAGGCATTGGGTCACAAACTGCTGAACACTGGGAAGAGCTTTGGAGAAGTATCAGTACACGTGCGTTCCCTTATTCTGCTCTTCGCTAGGCTTCCACTTCCGGCCAAAGACGACACTCTATCGAATACAGATCTGAAATGGTATGGTCACTCTCATAGCAGAGAGATCACCGAACTGATAAAAGCAAACCACCCCTCCCCCCACCACCACCACCAAAAAATCCCCAACTACTTTAACCCAAATCATTTTCCTAATGTTTGTGGGGTTATTTTGCAAGCCAGCTGTGCCGATACCACTGAAAGGACAGGAACCTCCTGAATCAGTTACATCACTAAAGCCAGAAACTCACCCAGCCACATGTAGATTAAAGTTTAGCTCTCCTCCCTGCCAAAATCAGCTTTCTCACTGTACCGGCACATGAACCTAGTTTTTCCACTGATAACTATTAGAACCTTAAAACACCACCTTTCATTGTGCTGGAAGAGTGATCTAATCCCATTTTTCCTATTACCCTCAAGTATTTTATTCGTAGCCCTGACCTACACAGGGTTTATAGTTTTTATTCTGTTTCAACCAAGGCTAAGTTTTGCTGCTGTTGTTTTTAATGTCAGGATTGTATTAGTATTGCTTAAAGCAGATATGGCCACATAGGTACAAAAGGTGCTCTATACTGGTGTAAGCTACTAAAGTAATAAAGTTACTTTGATACAAACACTCTTAGGTTGTACTATTCTTCTCACAGAAGTTATAACACTTCAGTTGTACTGTTTTGAGAATGGTCAGTCCAAAAAGTAGGACTTAGATTAATTTGCTTTTAACAGCTCATTTATTTTTGCGTTTCAGGTACCACTGTTCAAAGTCCAGGTCAACATACCTGTGGGACAGTTTCATGTTGCAATCACAGAAATAGTTACAGTGCCAAAACATCCCAAGCTAATTCAGGTTCTCACAGCACTCTAGCTGCAGCAGCAGGGTTCGGTGCAGACTCATTTATCCTAATGAGCTACTGCAGATGGATACACCTTCCAGTGTTCAACCTAGCTTCCCACAGATACCAATCTTCATCTCAATATCCCACCTACTCCCGTATCAGCGACCCAGGGTATTCTGGAGTACAATCTTCTACTATCAGACAAGTATACCACATATATCCCCTCTTCATAGCTGATCATGCCCCATCTTAAAAGTAGGGTTTGTTTGGGCTTATTTTGCCCCTAGCTGCACCGTTAAGTGGCTTTTTCAGAATCTCACCCTACTGAGGCTTTAAAGACTTTGTTTTCCAGTCTATGCTTATTCACAGTCACGTTCTATTCATCTGTTCTTGTGTCATTGTCCTTTACTTTTAAAGGAAAGGTTTAATGATTTCCACTCCACCTGCCATGCCCACACAAGAACTGCTCTGCATTGGGCACTGGAAGCAATAGCCTTACGTGCGCTGTTGCCAGCCAGGTGCCCAGCTGTGCCCTGAGAAGATATGTCGCTGACCACGCCAGATTCTAAAACCCTCAAGCCTGTAGCCCAAGATATCACTGCTAATTTCATGAAGCAATGCTTAACTGCAGGGGAGGTTCTTTCTTTAACAACTTCAAGGCAAGAACATGATGATACACCCCTTTATATCTGACTCACAAGCAGATGCTGTACAGTTTGATATAATTACATGATTTCACATGACATTCAAAATGAGCTTTGAGGAGGAATGCATTTCTAGTCGTATCAGTTAAAGGACAGCCTTGCCGATACGGACAAAAGCCAACGTTAGGTCCTCCAGAGCGCAGACAGCTAAAAAGTCCGAGCGGCAAGATCTTCATCCTGGTGTTAAACTGATTGATATATTAATGCTAAAATCCAAGAAGGAAATTTTAAAAATGTCTTTGTTGATCACTCCATTAAATAAAACAGGCAGGGAATGGAATAAAAATCCCACATAGAACAAGCGCTTGAAATTGCTGCACACAGGAGACAGAGGAAAGGAAACTGAAAAAAATACTGAGATGGCGGCAAAAAAATGGAGAAGAGGATCTGTAATGGCCCTAAGGGGAAGTACTCAGTACTGAATGGATATATGAACATACCCAGCTCCCAGGAAAAGCCATCTAAATTTTTCAGTCCACGGCCTGCTTACGCACTATACATCACCTTACCTCTGTTACTGCTGAATCCGTGGTTGAACTCTGATCAAAGCCAGTGATATCAGAAAGAGACAAACTTTTCATGCTTTTGGAAGTATTAAGTCTGTTACGGGGTCCTCGGGAATCTAATCAAGGGTGCATGGGGGGAAAAAGAAAGGGAAGACTGCTGACTGGCCAACCCCATTCTCTAATTAATCTTTCATTGTGCTATGTCACATGTAATCTCTGTGCAAGAAGTTCCTATTCTACATAGCTAAAGTCATACTACAGTGTTTTAAGGAGATTATAAAGAGGGGGAAAGCAGCCTGAAGCCAAGAACATGCTAATTAGAGTATACAATAGAAATGTTAATCAAGTAATCTTCAGGAAGAGGAGGAGGGAAGGAAATGACCTAATCCCTTGCACTACTGCATGGTGCCTAATGAGAAGAACTAAAATTCTTTTAAGGGCCAAGCAAACAAAGATCCATTGTTGCATGTACAGCTTCCAGGGAAGAAAACGCTTTGCTGCGTCTCAAGTTGCTGCAACAAGTAGAAGGTTCAATTTTTATGATATCTTCCACACGCTACCACCTCTGGAACTGGCAAGAAAGACCTTTTTCTCAGCCTTCCTGTAAATTTATAAGTTGAATCTTAGATTCTCTTTGGATAGAGCAAATTCTACTTCACAGTGGATTTGTCACCTCTAAAGCATTCACTACCCAATGACCACAGTGATCCTTGGGTGACCGTGGAGCTTGTTAAACATTTGAAAGTATAAGACCCACAGCACACCCTATGTTTTACAAAAGCTTCACAAGAGAAGTGCTTCCTACTGAGCAGTTCAGTGCTAACGCTATAGAGCTGCATTTACAACAAGGATAGGTCAAATAAGATACTCTGGAATCAAAGTGCTCTTGAGACGGTCCTTCGTTCAGCTTCTGATGCTTCAGGCTGTTCTTGAGAAGTGCTAGAAGTGCTAATATCTAAGGCTGAAAGGATTATAGGTGAGGCATCATCTGAAGAAAATGCATTCATTTATCCATAAGGTCAAACTGATGTCAGCCATCACAGAATGCTAAGTCAGAAACATGCAAATATAGTTGCATCAGTCTTCTTTCCAAGGCAGTAAACTTTGACTTTTCCAGGTACCCAGAAACAGCTACTGTAAAAGATTTTTTTGTAGTTCTCCAGGAACATTTCCTGATCTTGTAAACCCCTCCAAGCCAAATACTGTATCTGCAAGTTCGATTAACATAGGCTATGCACAAGCATTTCCTAAAATAATTTTTCAGCTGTGGTTCTCCTGACTTTTCTGAATAACCAAACCCAGAGATTTACTAAAAGCTTCAAGCTGTTCTAGTTTTCCCCAAATTAAGAA